CCTGTTATTAATGTTTATTGGGCTCCCGCAGCTAAAACAGCCTCAACCCAAAGTGATCCAACTATTGTTATTAGGAAGATCTGAAAGCAACGACTTGTTCTCTCTTGCACATATTCCAATACGTAATCTAATCTCAACGGGGATGTGCTGACTGGATGCTTGTTGTGCGATGAGCCGTGGGGCTATTTCGAAGCTCATCAGGAGACGTAAATGGGGAAGTGCGGCAGGGGCAGTGAACACATACCAGGATGAGAAGCTCACAAGGGAACACCATGCGAGATTCCTAAAGGAATAACGAGGTTTACTGCAATGTGGAACCATTTGTTGGTTTACATGTTATTGTGTATGGGTTCCCACCCCACCCCCCCCCCCCCCCAATGTATTTCTCAAAAAACAAAGCCTTCTCAAGACATTATGAATTACCAATAGTCACTCAGGCCTATCAGCGCATAAAACACTTCGCTCTGAAGATATCAATATCCATTACCGCGGTTATTGATCGGGACACCATCAGCTTCCACAGTTCTGATTTTGGAATGTTTGATGCAATTGTGATGTAAATTATACCACTGACGACAAAATGAGCGTTTGCATTTAACTGGAATGAATGTGAACACGGATTTATGGCCAAGATTTTAACAACTCATGCAGACTGAATTTTTTTAATTAAAAAAATAAACATGTCATACAGCATCCTTTTTACTTTTTTGGGGCGCCACGGTGGCGAGATGTTACCTACCTCGCCTGGTATACAGGAGGTTCGTGGGTTCGATCCCGACCCTGACGCCTGCTGTATATTTGGAGTTTGCATGTCCTCCCCGTGGTTGAGTGGATTTTTCTCCGGGTCATTCGGTGTTTTCCTCCACACTTATAAACATGCGTTTAGAGTATTTTTCGGCTATACATTTCCACATCAGCCATTTCGTTGAGCTATCTTTGTGATAGCCAGGTCGCTTTTGAAAAAGTGATTTGTAGCTCAGTGGGCCTTACCTGGTAAATTAATAATTAAGAGTATTATTCTTAGGTTTTTTTCGGTAAAGTCACTTTTATTAATTTTAATGTTTTACCTACGTGACTTTACCGAAAAAAACCTAAGAATATGAATCCTTGCAGTCACGAAAGCTTCAAATCTAGAATTTAAGAGTATTCTTTATATTTGAGGTGCCCCTGTTCAAAGCCTCTTTTGCCTATTTGCAGCTTTTCATCCCACCGAGTTAAACTGGATCGGATGCACGCGGCCCCCCCACGACATTTTTCTAACGAGATCTCCTTCAGGCAATCACGCAGCTTCTTATTCTTCTGCTCCAGTTGGCCGATGACGCGGGCCCATACAAATGTCACGCTGCGCGTTTCTCGCGAGCCTGCTCAGTCGTGGAGAAGGGCAACCTCCGACAATGCCACTTGCTAAGGCACACAGCTGCTTCTTCTGCACTCCAGCGTATTCCAAAAAGATAATTGTGTTGTTATTTTTGCACTCTTGTTTGATCTTGCGACCCCCCCCCCACACACACACCCATTGCAACAATGTTCCAATTGACAGTTGTGGAAACACTACGCAGGATCATAGCCTTGCCATTGCATACCATGACGCAATGCAGGGTGCCAATTATTAATCGTTATCGTTCCGCTCGTCTTGCTCAGCCAGGCGACAGCCGGCTCCGTGAGCAGTGTGTGTGTGTGGGGGGGGGGGGGGGGAGGACCCTGAGACCCCCGTCGAGTCCGGCCAGGGGGGGCACTCATCGACGACGCGAGCCAGAGTGGATTGTGGTCACGTTGGCCTCAGGTGCGGATGTTGGCTGGTGTGGAGGGAGGGCTGCCAAATGAATGCTGCCAATGTCGTAGAGAAAAAAAAGTACTTATTGAAAAGCAACTCTCTTATTCTTCATAACGTACACGTTTACATTTTGAGAGGAATAAAGGACACACAATGGTGCATCAACATCAAACATAACTGGGAAACGAAATTATGATAACATGGCAAGTGAAAATACAATAGTGTTACCGATTGGTTCGCCAAGAAACGTATGGATACATTTGAAAACCAACCCTGCATTCCTACTGTTGGACCGAAGAATACAATTCTCGGTAAATGAGTGGTTTCAAGACATATGTATGCAGAAAACAATATGACCAGACTTTTGGATCATTAAAACCCACCACCTTAACCTTCTGGCTTAAGCTAGAGATGTTGAGGCCTATGGGCCACCTTGCTGATCTCGGAAAGGGGCATAAACCATCATGCGAACTCCGGTCATCCTCGCAGCGGCTTTTGGCTGGCTGTCGAACAAAGACGGCCACTGCATCGAGCGCTTTCAGATGCGCTTCTGCGGCCGTCTGGAACGCTCTTCCTTTCGATATTAGGAAGCCACTGGAGCAATGCACATTTAAATCTAGATTGAAAACTCATTTATTTAGAATTGCTTTTTTTTGTTTCGGTTGCTGTCCTTCCTCCGATTAGCATAATTGGCTACGTACGATGCGAAATACGTTCAACATACATATACTCACCTGTAAAATGTGCTCAAAATCGTCAACTATATATCATTTATTCTAGATTTGAACCTTTCGTGACTGCAAGGATTCATATTCTTAGGTTTTTTCGGTAAAGTCACGTAGGTAAAACATTAAAATTAATAAAAATAAAAAATCACGACGTTTCGGAGGCAACACAAGCTTCCGTCTTCAGGTGAAACGGTCACAGCAAAATATCTGTACCTTATATAGATATTTTGCTGTGACGGTTTCACCTGAAGACGGAAGCTTGTGTTGCCTCCGAAACGTCGTGATTTTTATTTTTTATTTGTATTAATTTTAATGTTTTACCTACGTAACTATATATCACATAAATATTCAAGACTTGTGGACCATTATCCACATTTCTTCCCCTGAGCAAGGATTTATGTTTAAATATATTTCCTAATATGTTATCATTGCTTAATTAGTTCAAGACTTTCTTTGTGTGTCTATATAGTACGAATGCGTTAATGCATCAGTATATAACGGAACGTTAATTGAGATCTCTATATCTTCATTTCACCACTGAGCCGCATCGGTCTTCAAGTCAAGCAGTGACAATGTGGCCGCAGGTGCCGGCTGTGCATAATGGCGTAATGAGACATTTCCACAGTGTTGTAGATTATTCACGCATAACTGTGGGGCTCTCTGGTAGAACGTGAGGCATTGTATTTATCTCAATTATTTTTCTAATCGGATGGGACTGCGAGATTTTTGCATGAAAAGACGCAACGTGAAGAAATAACGTTAAATTGCACGGGCAATTATAGGGACTAAAAAATATAGATGAGCAGAACTATCGAGCCATATGGCACATTGTTCCAATTAAAAAGATTAGATGTGTATTTGAATCGAGTCCACGTATAAAGTATTAATCATCACCACAGCAATGGTTGTGTTTAAATGTTTACACATGTGAAAGTCGTGTTTAAATACTCTTTGGTTCTTTCGGTAAAGTCACGTAGATTTTATTTTTCTACCTACGTGACTGTACCCAAAGAACCAAAGAGTATGGATTTCTGCAGTTACGAAAGCTTCAAATCAAGATTGTGTTTAAATGTTTACACATGTGAAAGTATGGGACAGAGCTTCACCGCAATCAATTCGGTCATGTATTTATGTCATTTGTGGCAGTTGAAATTTGTAATAAACAGCATTTAAGTTACAATATAATGCAAAATTATCCAGAAATACATGCTTTGAGGGTATCAACTAGTTGTAGTCCCAAAATTAATTTAGTCTGATATAACCTTTTTATAGTTTCTGGGCGAGATGTTCACAAGAAACACAACAAAGCCAGCTCAGTGTAGCTATGGTGCCGAGGAACTGGATGCCTCCTCTCTGTATAGATTCATGGTGCAAGATGTGGCCTGCATCGTGATATATTACCAGATCTCAAAGCCACTGGCGTATCGCAATGCCCCTCAGCTTTGGGTCCTCAGGCCTCGTGTTTCACTCACTCCGGAGGAGATCACATGCAACTTTCCCCATTTCTTCATTTACAAGCTTGTTTGCTATCGTACGCTGAACAGGGGTGGCATTTTTTTTTTAGCAATGTAGGAGTGTGGTTAAAACCCAGCAAATGGGATTTGCCAGTCACACGACTCGCTGCTTATCAATCACACAAATCACTACAACCTGTGTTGTAAAAGCAGGGACATAATTCATGGGCAGGCAACATGACACGGTGATGATGTTTGGTGAACTCGGCTGGCCTCGCCGTAAGAGTTCCTCCTACGGCATTCTTGATCAGATGCTGTGCCAGAACACACATTCTAAATAGATGCCATAAACCAATTTTCAAGCGCACATTAGCAAATAATAAATTTGATGTGTAACAGCTTTTCCTAAAATCGCGCTCAAAATTAGGATTGAGGGGTCGGTATGATAAGAAAACGATGGCTTTTTCAGCTTGTATTGGTGCTCGTATATTAGCACAAGCCTCTCAACCTCCTCCACACCGACGCTCACATTACGAGTATTTCTCCAAAACGTGTTGCAAGATGCAACACGTAAGATATAGACCTGGGCTCATAATGTAATCGTAGTGATACTGCCAGGTCGAAACTGCTCGAGTTCGTTTGTATAAACAAATAATGCGAGGATATTAGTCTGGAAAGCCGATAGGCGGATGGAGTGAGACATGTTTTCATTTTAATGTGGACACAAAAGGGAGTTCTGTTCTTGAAATCCGAGAGAAATGTATTGTCTAATGCATTAATATCAGAGATGTAGCACCTGGAGGATAAATTTGAATTAAAATGGCAAAACAGTACTGTGAATACTGCATGAATCACATTCACATACATGAATCCGAGTCGGTGGAAATGTTTTGTTCAGCACAAAATGGTTTGTATTAAAAAACATTACCAAGATAATAAAGTTCCTGCTACATCTCATCTAAATGATACATTTCATTAAGTGTCGTATTTTAATAACAAATATAAAAAGTAACATACACAATATAAACAGACAGATGTAGAGTATTCTGTAAAGTTAATTTACTTTATTTTACAAAAGTGAACAGTTGATAATAATTCATAACAGCCACAGTTAAGCAATGTCACTAATAGTTCAAATACATGTCGCAATGGCAGTATAACAAACAAAAAACATTAAATAAAATATTTTTAGACTAAGCATTTATATCTCAATACCTTATAAAATATGACAGCCTGTATTCCGGTGGAATTAAAAGCCAAATTTAATGTCTTGACAAATACAGGTCACAAGCTCCCGTAAATATTCATGGATTTTTTGTTTCAATTTAACTGTTGATATAAACAGGGCAGCGCAGATGAGCAAAGAACGGCACAAACAAAGTGATTCTGTTGTTGCCGAGCTGCAGCTTTCCACGTACAATGTAACACGGGATGGTCGTGCGACTCGGAAGATGTTGCTCGCTACTACAATGTTCCCATTCCAGACACTTCTGAAGTGAGCCTGAAAGAAAAACGCAGAGGAACCGGAGGGGGCATATAAAGAGCAATACACGTCGCCAGAGTAGAATGTGACCTCAGTATGCCAATGCGGAACCCTGACTGAATGTGGCAACGCGCACACCGCAGGTGCTGCTGCCGTTGTTATTTTTTACGATACGGCTACAACACGCTGAATGGCGAGGTATTTAAAAAAAGTGTTACAAGGTTATCGTATATGAACGTACAGATTATGTGTTCAATATTACAGCGGCTGTAGTTGCGATATCGCAGGTTTGCAGCAGTGGCAAAACACGGAGAGGGCAGGGGGGAGGAGGAGGAGGGGGGGCAACGATGGTTTTCGCAAAATCGGTACGAAAACACAAGAAGCCCCAAGCAACAGCGTCGGCGGTCGTACCTTCGCGTGTTCTCAGCAGAAACGGACCGTCGTCTCGGCAAAAAAAAAGCTCATTGCGTGTAGTGCATTGCCATCAAAGTTAACCAAAGGCAAAGCGAACATTACAGAAGCTGAATATTAATACTGACGATGGCGCGCGGGTTTACACGCAGAACAGCCGCTTCGGTGGAAAGCCACCATACTTATAAATACTTTCGGTAGTTTTTCACCATACATAGACCAATACCTCCACTTTAACATACCTGGGTGTGTACATGAGCAACTCCCACAGCAATGGTTAGGGAAAAGAAATAACCCAGATCTAAAATCACAGGCCAGTATGTTAGCCTGCTTCACAATCTAAAAAAAAATCTATATGTACAATACGCAACTTTGCAGTGCTTTTAATTAATTTTCCATCTAAAACTATTCGCATCATGCTCATATACAAATGTCCAGTTATGCAATTACTACATACAGTAGGTAAAAAAATGTTTTCATATCAATTACGCATTAGTAATCCATGCAACAGGACTGGTTAAACTTGTGGGTGTGCGTCAATAGGAGGCGAAACTGTCAGACAGCAAAAACTCACTTCTGGCGGGGTCGATTAAAAACCGTAAGAAACATTTTGTTCTTATTGCAGTTTTAATACCTCTCAAAACTTTTTTTCATGTTTTTTTCCGCTCACTTTAATCTCAACAGAAAAATTATAATTACATTTTAAACTTAGCGTTTTGGCAGATTTTCATCAACCCAAATCGTGATTTCCTCCACACTTAACGTTTCCTTTACGACAGTAATCCGATGTTCACCAGCCACGTATCTCGTACAAGGACTAGATTGTTCTCACTTGATAGTTTGCATAAAGGGCTAGCTTTACATAGCGCTGAATAGACGTTAACCCAAAGGTGTACTGTAAGTTTTGTATGGCATGTGCTTGGTGTGCGCGCATGTGGTAGAGTCTGTCCAAATCCACACCGACGGCATCGACGATCGAACAATTATAGAGCTTCCGAGAAGCCAAACACACAGAATATACGCAGCAGAGGCAGCACATCCAAAACAGTGGAAGACATGACAAAAGTATAACAATGAATGTTATAAATAACACAATGATAAACAAAAAAGCACTGGCAATTTTACACTTTCCAACGAAGTATTAACTACCAAAAAATATATAAACTGGATAACAGTGAGGGTTTTATGTCGACAATGGAGGTTGTTTTGCATTGTGCCCTGCAGGTTTTTCTATCACCATATTCTGTATTTCTACAAATTACATACTTGCAGTTTTGACATAAAACCGAAAGGTGTAACCTTTGAAGAAAAATTTGTAAATGAGGTTTTGGTTTTGTTACATGAAAATAACATTGAGGTTTGATCCCTACATTACCTTTTATCAAATAAAAAAAATAACAAATTGACACCTTGGATTACATTTTTGATTCGTTTTTTTTGTGTGGAGGTGGCTGGCATTGCCTTTTCGACTGTTATACCTTTGGAGACGGGGTAGCATTGAACAACAATCAAGTTTAGACTTAATTTTTTATTTAGTTCTTCAATATTAATGACCAATTATTAATAGTAATTTCAACATTTTTTGTTACAATGCTCACTGTGACATGCAAATGTCCAAACTGCCAGTTACCTATAATCTCAAAGTGAATGCTTATTTTTTATAATTATCTTGGGCCCTGGTTGCTTCAGATCATGAGGACGAGCAGCCTCAAGCCAGCATCATCATCATCATTTTGCTCCCATCTGGTCAATACGGAGCAAACTTCTGGCGCTCGCCTTTCTTGCCCCCGGTGGCAGCTGCGGCTGCGGACGGCATTTTGGCCGTGTAAGCGGTCAGGCCAGCCAGGCCCGCCAGCGAGGCCCCGGGGGTGGCAGCGGCAGCAGCCGCCGCCGCATTTAAGGCCAGCAGCGGGACGGCCTTGAGGCCAAGCAGGCTGGAGACGGAGACAGGCACGGCGTAGGTGGGAGGAGGAGCAGGGTGGTGGTGGGGGGGCACAGCCGCCGTTGCAGCCAGGGGGGTGGGGGCGGAGGCTAGTGGGGTGGTGGTGGTGGTGGTGGAGGAGGAGGCGGGCTGAGGGAGGTTCAGGTCAACGGGGTTCTGGCCGGAGGCAGACTGGTTGGCGGCTTTAGCCATATCCAGGCTGCAAACGGAGAGAGGGATGGGGATGGGGAAGGCCGAGGGAAGGGGGTAGCATGGGACGGGGGGGAGGGGGGGTTAGGGAAATTAAGGGTAAGGGGGTGGCAGGGTCAACGGGAGGGACAGGGTCAAAACATTCACGGAGGGGTTAAGTAGGCAAACACAAGGGCAGTACATGGATGGGGAAGTTAAAGGGCAGGGGTGGGAGGCAGGGGGAGGAAGAAGGGAACATGGAATGTGTTAAAGAATAGAAACAACAAAAGGGCATCCCATGAACTGATGAAGAAACATTACAAAAACAAAAAAGGTGCGATGCAGCCAAATGAAATAACAAACAAAGAAGAGTTATTATTCATGGAAACAATGAGAAATAATCTAAAAAATAATCCAAAACTATAAGCATATTTTGAAGTTTGGCAATCATGCTTTGGAGGCCTTCTAATCAGTATGCTTCAGACTAAAGAGGGACATCTCTAAACACCAAAGATCAATTCAAACTGCTGATGCATACATCAACAAGTGCCCACACGGTCACCACATCGCGCACTTTCAGATGCGCTTCTGCAGCCGTCTGCAATGCTCTTCCTTCCGATATTAGGAAGCTACTGGAGCTATGCACTTTTAAATGTTGATTGAAAACGAATTTCTTGAGAACTGCTTTTTTTTTCAGTTTGTTGTCCTTCCTCGCACCTCCGATTAGCACGGTTGGCTACGTACGGTGCGAATTAAGTTCAATGTACATACATACACACACCAATTCAGTAGACTAAAACAAACGTTAACAGGAAGTATTTAAGATTCTAATGGTACAAAATAAATGTAAAATATTTCTTAAAAATGGTTACTCCTTACAATCTATACTATCTCCAAGAAGCATACTAAAGCTTGCAAGCATCATATAACTCCAGTTTTCCAGGAAAATAAAACAATTATGTCCCTTTAAGCAGTGATAACATAACTGTCAATTATGAAATATTTACAATTGTCAATTTAGTTTCATGATCAGCCTCTCAATTAAGCTCAATCCTCCTTCACGTATATTTTTGTAATTGGTTAATACAGTTTATTATAAACGTTTTACACTGTGTATGTTTAACACGTTTATTTTAAATGCAATATATATCCTGTGTAACACAACCACATCTCTATGTGTTAAGTGCTACTGAGGTTAAAGAACATTGGTTATTGATTTACATAGAATTCAGCATTTATGACAATGTAACGATTGTTACTTAATGGAATGTTAAATACACAACACCACTGGGATTAAGCTAAGAAGAAAATCAGACCAATTTTGCAAACAGCATCAACACGTACTCCAGTCAATTTGTGAAGCTCTTCCAATGACGGGTGACATTTTAAACTGGGCCCATTTTGAAAACAATCATTTTAATAGCTGTTTTAAAATATACTATTATAACAAGCATTCCACAGTCTTGGTATATGTCTGCGTGATCACACAAACGTCAGCCTTTCATTCCCCTTCTCTTAGGCGAATGCAGACTCTTTAACGAGCACTATTCATATGCAGTACCAAACACGCACAATGCCAACTGTTCACCCACGGGGCTTAAGCAACGACAATACAAGACATGCGTCACGAATGGCTGCAAACGGCTCCCCAAACTGACAGCATGGTGGAGTTCTTTGTTTTGAGCACCCTCCGATCGAGCTGGAGTCATTGTCTGGACAAGAGCTGCAGTGGGCCAGGACGAGGTGCAGGGCAGGCTAGGCTGTAGGCCTTGCGAGGCCTACCTTGCATTGATGAGGTACTGTGCCAGGCTGATGTTGGCTGGCGATCCTATGATGGTGATCTGTCGTTCTGCCGAGCCTTCTACCGCATTGGCGATCTTGATCTGCGCTCCAGACATCTGTCTGATCTCGTTGATTTTACTGCCTTGTCTTCCGATTATGCATCCTACCAGCTGCAGGGGAAGTAGGGATTGAGTTAATAAGAGTGCACTGTGCAGAACGCCATCTGCTCAGTACAATACACGTAAATCATGGAGCTTTTAATTTCATATTTATTTTTCCATTTGAACATCTTCCTCAATCAAATTGATATTTTATCAATGGAAAGCATTTCCCACCTTGTTACAAAAACACAATGGATTTTAAATAACTTGTGTACCTGACATACATTTTTGCAGCCAATATGAGGATTAAAAATTGATTTTTGGATTGATTACGAACCCAACCAAAAACAAATCTCTTCTGAAGCTCGTGCACTATTCATATTTCCCTGCTAGATAAATTGTGTGCAGGCGTGCAGTGAACTGACAAAGACATTTAGAGTTGACACTTGTGACACTTACATCATTGGGAATGGTAATTTCATGTGAGGTTGTCTGAGCATTGTCCAAACCTGCTGGGCGACAGCACAAGTGACAATTTTAGAATAGAAAATTCGATACAGATCTTACAACATAGTTCATTAAAAAAAGACAATGCACGTCTTGTATTTCTTGTTGTAGCCACACCAGAAGAATATTTTTGGTTGTGAATGTTAACACTGTACTGCGGTAGCCATACAATGACTGGAGGTGTTCAACCGTATAAACTATCCAAACTCAATGTGTTGATGATAAGTTGATCAAGTAAGTTTATATTTATTGTATGCCAAAGAGTTTGGAACCTATAAAAAATCTGCCAAAAATTGCAATTATAAATCGTCGACCAATGTATGAGAATACAATTATTTTCAAGACATGTGAAATTGTTTCCACGTGAAAATATTAGTGCAAGAATCACTGAGCCAACAGAGGATGGAGCCTGAAGATTTGAAGATATCAAGACGTACCATACATAACACGAAGGTTGAAGTGAAATAGAAGCTCTCACAAGGCAGTACAGAAAAGTGTGGATAAATCCTCTCAGAATTAATGAAGTAACTGTGTAAAACCGGTTTTCATTTCTCATAACCATATATTTTAGCAAAAAAATGGTAATAACCACCATTGCTGGGTTTTCCTGCAGAGGCGAGTGATATTAATCTGCATTCTCTCCCATGTACCTGATATCACGGGACACTGTTTTAGGTTTCAGAATAACATAGCCCTCATTTGCTTGCATGAAACATTTGCATGGCACTTTAAGAAAATGCTCACAGTGAACGATGGCATTTGCAACCTTAAATGTAGTTTCTGTAATGTAAATGTCGTATTGACCTGAAAATATACACCTGTTTTTTGGACCTAACCCATCTCTACCAATGAGATTGTTTAAGTATAATGTAAAGAGAAGTGCCAAAAAGAAGCAGATTGAAAGGCTGCAACGGAATAAAACAAACGCAAAATAGGTTTTTTGGGGTTAACATCTTAGGGAAATGGTTTGGATGTAACAGATGCAGGAAGAAGTTAGTAACACAAATGCGGAAGCCAGGGGAGGAAACATACTCACCTTCATTATAATCTCCCCTCCGCCAACTGAAGCAGGGGCATGCACAGTTGACTAATCCAGGGCAAAGATTTATGAGTGGATTTATTTATTTTTACAATTGTTTTTTTTTGGTTCTGTTTGGAAAACATAACTGTTTTTCCAAATCAGGTAGAGGCTACACAGGACGTTGAGACGACAACATAATTGTTGTCTCTGGGGAGCCTTAAGGTGGGTAGGTACGTACCGGGGAAACCAGGGGTAGTCTGTCCGAGGGGGGTAAAAGGGGTATGCTGCATAGCCAGCTGATGGAGCTTGGTCAACTGCAGGGAGGGACAGGGTGGAGTGTCGGGTGTGGGGTGCAGGGTTGTGTGAGGGCAGGATGGGGGTGGGTGGTGGGAGCACAGTGCAGGGCAGGGTAGGGTCAGGTGAGGGGAGGGGTGTCGGGTGAAGGATGTTGGGAGGCAGGGGGAGTGCAGAGGAGGGGGACACGGAGTGAAAGAGGGAGGGAGAGATGGGTCGGGGAGGGGGAGATTAGAGCTAACAAATCAAACGGAAGAAGATTACAGAAACAGTGCAAACTGGAATTAAAAAAAAGGATTAACGGTGTTATCACGGTGGGGAGGAAAAGGGAGGTTGAATTAGGTTGTAGTATCGATAGGTTGGAATCAATGATTTGGGGATGTCAATATGTAGCAAAGGTTGGAGAAATAAAACTGGACTAGGACACAACAACTCAACGTTAAACTGTCTAAAAGTGATATTACCCAGCAGTACCTTACAAGGACATACCACCGTAAAGACAGTAGCTGGACCACAGCAGATATTAAGATTTTTCAACATCTGCTGTGCATTCCATAAAATTATTTTGTAGAAGGTAAACAAAACAAGAAACCACACCGACATGTACAGCACTTGCTTTATGAAATTGTATTGGTGTGAGAGAGGACATTGGCTAATATGACTGTTAGACAGTTTTTTTGTATCTAAAATAGCGCTTTGGAAGTTTATTGCCATGCAGTACTTCAAAAGTTAGTGCTGGGTAGCGGGTTGGAGTACTGGTAACAGTAAAAATGAAATCATGTACCGGGTTTTGCATTGTATGATGCATGTAATGGGCAGAAGCAGCTCCAAAAGAATCGTATGCCTTTTGCATGCTGGAGAGCCATGGTGCACACCCATACATATCTATCCCTAAGCACGAATCCTGATGTGAAACGAAACGAAAATTATGTTTTTAAGAGTACAATAAGAAAAAGTATTTCATTTCTTTTGTGCAGCTCAAAATACAGAAGTGATTTGCACATTAAAAAAACTATTTGCATAATTCATAAACCGATATACCGTAATGAAAAACAACTCCACAGACATTTCACATTCTGTACCATCACCACAATGAAACACCTGAATGAACATTTGTATACTTCAGACAAATTGTTAAAAAGACTTGAGAGTAAGAAACTCCCAATAAGTTACGTCTCGCTTCCACACGTACTATTAACACCAAACAATGAGCTTGACGCAAAGCGTAATTACGCTTAAAAAAAAACACAATGCAACATGAGAAAGCCTGCACAGCCTTTCAGTATCTTGGGCTGACGTTTATACATTTGTAAAGTCATAATAATACAATTACAAAACCAACAAAACTATGAATCACAACAGCTGTTTATGTGATGTATAATAAAAGACTGTCTTTAAAAAAAATATCAGATTGGTGATTATTTCCTTGTGCTAAAAAACTAAGCTTCAGCATCTACTATGTAACATCGGATGTAAAATTCTGGCAAACAACAATAACTACCAGACAAACTTACAATACTCTCTTTTACTTATTCGGTCAAAACTTTTTAAATCAATAACAAAAATATAGATTACAATTGGCTTGCAACAAATTAATAAATTAACTGCAAACAGTTCAATCAAACGTCAAATGCTGCATGGACAGCAAATGCATACGTCACAGGTGGCTGCCACTCGCTGATACAAATGATCTGTGAAATGTCATCAGGAAGGACTCACATCTGGGTGAGGAATGGCATATTGTCCCTGAATGGTGTACGCCTGGAAAACATTAACGCAGAGACCAAAACTGAGAAGATTATAGTATCAAACCTCGCATGATATTAAACAGTGCACCCACATCAAAACCAGACTAATGGATATGGCCGTAATCCATACCACAGAATCAGATCTGCACAGACTTCTCATGTGCACGTGAGCGGCAAGTCTCGTGCATGAGGCAAACATTCACATTTTAGCTGTTTCTAATGAGCATGAAAACAAATCACTTTCTTTCACCTTTTACATATCCATGTCATTTTAAAGCATTTTTTGGAAACGAAACGTCTTACTTGAAACAAGCACATGCGTAGCTTAAAACAATTAACTTATTGGCAATTTAAATAATTCACTCTTTGCTACTCAAAATAAAACTGACCAACAATAAAAACGAAACATGATCAATATTTTACATTCATTAGCTTACATGTCTACAGGTAAAGAGGGTGATGTAATCCGTTAGCTCAAAACATTACTGCAATTTTAGTAGAAATGTAGACATGGAGTGAACTTGTTTGTCTCCATACAACAGTTTACAAAACCCTCTATGCCGTCGTTACACATTTACTTACACATTTTCTTTCATTTTAAACTTTTTTCCGTTAATTTATACGAGCAGCAGACCATTACTTTTTGAAAAACACACATATCAAAAACAGACAAATAATAAAGCTTTAACAAATTCAATGACATTTCAAAAAAACAACGAGTAAAAAATGAAGGCATTGGGAACTAACTGTGAGGGCTGGCGGGTGGTGCGGTAAGACGGCAGGGTTGCCCGCGTGAGCAGCGAGGCCATCCGGCCTTACCTGCCCGCCAGCGAAAATCACCGGGGCGGAAGCGGCCGGCTTGGGCCGGTACGGGATGGTGGCACCTTTAGGTGGGGACTGAGCAGGGCAAAGAGGGCAGTACGTGTGCAGGGTGGGTCAGGGGTGAGGGTGGCACAGGAACAACATGGGGTGTGGAGGGAAAGGGGAGTGGGGGTGGTGGGGTTTGAGGTGGGGTGCAGTGGTTTGGGGAAGAGGGAGTGGGGTGAAAGGACAAGGACAAAGGGGCAAGTGAGGAGTCCTTTGAAGGTGTTGTCTATTGCAACAAAAAAAAGATGCAGGGAAGACACAATCTTGTGAGGACATTTTATGATCTCATACGGGAAAATGGACGTAAAAACAATAAACATAAGCGTCTCGCAGAGTTACCTCACCAATGTTTTAATGGCTATAAAAATGATTGACTACAATTATTAAAGTGGAACCTGGCTAAACATTGTTACGGTCATGGGAATTTTCTCATTCACTTCATGTCGGTCAGACAGCGATTACTTCACAAATATTGCACGGGTAACCTCGCACGGCACAGACAGATTATTCAATCATCTTAAGAGTGCAATTGCAGCATCGGTCCTAAAAGTCTTAGAATAAAAATTACAATTCTACCACAGACGTCAGCCTTTCATTCCGAGAGTGCGGGTGACTCGCTGCCATGGCCATTACCTCCAGCATGACCACACAGATTTGCCGCACACATTGGATGATTGCTTCAGGCGTGCCAGAAATTGTGACGGCTCGCTCCGTGGAGTTTGGCAGCAGGTCGCCGGCAACCTGCACCTGTGCCCCTGTCGACTAGAAACACAGCTCAGGATCAACATCAACACGACGGAATAAGATGGACAATTAAAATGTAGTAGAGCTCAAGCAGTCCACCACAGTTACCAAGCATACATAAGTAAGAAAATGCAACTGATGTGTCAAATAATAAACGTTCATAAGTTTTTATGGTTAAATTAATAATTTATTTGTATACTATTCATTTCATGGAATAGTAATGTGGTTGCTAGAACCTTCAAGTTTATGTCCAAGTTTCTTTTGTTTAACCAGGCGACAACCCCCGAGACCATGACAGTTTAATTTTTAAGTGACCTGCCAGTATTGGGTGATGATTGCTACATATAATCCCAATCGAGTAATTTGCGGATGATTTTTCAATTGATGCCGACACATAATGGCCTATTCTTGCGAGCGATATCAGGGAATCTTTTAACATCCGCTGTCAAGTGGACGTTGTGTATTGTCACAGTTAATACACACGCAGGAGGAATCAGTGCGGCCGCTGGATTCGAACCGTGAACTTCTGCAATGGGGACTAACGTGCTACCGCTAGGACACGTCACCACCTTAAACCTGAGGACATTCAGACCCCTGGACATGGCGAATCGGTATCTCGCGAACATAATGAAAACACATTCACATTGATGTAGTAGATCAGGCCAACGGCAAAGCCAATGCCCGATCCAGAAATACAAAGGAGACATTACAGCGATACACTCCTGCACTGGATTGTGAAAGTGTAGTTGTTGCACTGCATCTACATCAGCCACACGAAGGAAGAAGATGGAAAATCGATCTTAAGCACTCCACTTTCACCCCAACCATTACTGACTAGCATAACAAAGTATGATGAAATAATGCATGGGGAGGCCTTCATCCAGCAGAACGGAAGTAATATTTATTCGTTTTAATGAATATATATTGGGGCAAATACGAGACAGCTTAAATTACTGTAAATCGAGGAAAGTTTTACCCGAGTCCTCGTTCTATTTTCAATGTTTGGCCCATTGCTTAATGATTCTTTAAAGACATTGTCCAACACAGATTGAATTCTGCAGGTACAACTTAATTGTAGCCCATACCACATTGTCCTGGGAGTCGTCTATACAACTGTGGAAAACTGTCACAGGCACCTTTATCCAGTGGATGCAATCTTCGACGTAAAAAAGTTCCCTCCAAATATCAATTGATAATTCCATTTTGCCTTTGCATACTTAAGTTTGAGGGAATTTACATAAAATTTGTATCCTGTTTAGTTAACCTCTCAGCTTTTTCATGCAAAATATTACATCTCTGTAAGAAAACTATGTCGTCAATATTTAATTCGATAGGCCTTTATCAGGGCCCAGCGTGAAAAACGAATTATGTCGCTCTTATCCAAGATGATGAAAGCCCATTGGCAAAAATGTCATTTATTGCATTTCTCTCCACAGCATGAATTTAACTGATATTCTTGAACGCAATTAAGGCCGTTAGTCAAGCACGCCAAGAACATTCTAATCACCGTCATCGTTGTCACCATTCGTAAAGATTTTTTTTCGCAGTCTCCCTAACATTGTCTGCGCGAAATGCAAGTAAGAATTATGATACCGCTTCTGCAATTTAAACGTGAATTCACTCCCGAGGATGACGACACCGCGTACACTTAAACCAGTTTCACATTACACAAAGCGCTCTTCAAAATGTATGAAACTAATTTTAATGACATTAAAGCCCAACAGGCATTGTATTGACCCATCTCTTCTTTCAAATAAATACTTAATGAACAAATGCATAGCTTTTTTATTTATTAAATTGCAAACGCTCTATATAACTTGATCATATGATGGTGTGGGTAGAGTGCATGACTCACATTTCGGAAGGTTGCTGGGGTCAAATTCCTGTAGGAAATCAATTCAACCACTCTGTGCAAAGTCAACAACGATCTTCGATGGACAGACTGGCCTCGGACATGGAAATGTGGTATTTCCACCATTGGCACTTGGCCACTAATTGCACGTTTGGTTAGCCGATGTTGGTGCACATCTCTAAAGCGCACTGTTAGCAGGCACGTAAAAACGAGGATAAGCAACTGTGGGTCGAGTTTTGTTTCCCCCTCGAGTTACGGAGCAGTCCCTCACCTCTCGGATTTCACGGATCTTGGAGCCACCCTTGCCGATGAGCGAGCCGCACTGGCTGGCTGGCACCACGAGACGCAGGGTGACGGGCGGCTTGCTGGTCACTGTGCTGTTTGTCATGGAGCTGTTAATGTCCTGCCAGTGTGGGTGTGCACAGCGAGAAGGCGGCATCTTACTCAACTACCCAGTGCTTTTATCGGTAATAGAAAACATAAGGATGACTCCATTCTGCATGTTCGCATAATAATAAAATTATGATTTTTTGGTAAAGTCACGTAGAAAGAAATGTAATTAAATAATAATAGCATACGACGTTTCGATTGCAACACAAGCAACCATCATCAGGTACAAATGAATGTACAAATGCATGTACAAATGAATGTACTTGATGATGGTTGCTTGTGTTGCAATCGAAACGTCGTATTCTATTATTATTTAATTTCTTTCTACGTGACTTTACTGAAAGAACCAAATAACGATTCCCTGCAGTGATGAAAGCTTCAAATCTAGTTTTATTAAAATTATGCTTTAGTCAATAGGCCTCCTGGCTTTTCAGACCAATATTATCCAGCAGAATGTATTTAAGTACGAAAACTCGGGACCGATTTCGACCTTCTGGATCTTATCAGCAGAGTCTGGCTTATTAAACAAAGTCTGATGGGTTACCAGACATTGTTGGTAAGCATACACCATCTAAATGAGGGGGCCTTGTGTTCAACACCAAGGTGCAAATTACCAGTCGATGCTTTGGTAAACCCAATAAACAATAGTGCTGTTGTGGTTGAAAGAAATACTTGAAAAAATAAATGACAATAATTCTTACAGGCACTTGGAAATATACAATTCAACAAAAATGCCGATGCAATAAAAAACATTCCTTTTGGATCCTATTAAAATTATCAAGGCTAACCCAATGGGGGTGGCTAAAGCAAGCAAGTACGAGTTTCAAATTCCCATGGAAATCCTTTCGAAGAGTGTTGTTTCGAACCTCTTTCACACACGTACGTAGCTAACGGTGCTAATCGGAGGGTGCGGAAGAAATGCAAGGGCGGAGGAAACGTTTCGTACTTCTTCAAACTTCTCTGCGATCATCGCGAAGGCCTTGAAGATGGCGTCAGTGGGGCCGGTGATGGTGACGATTCGCTCAGGACACGAGCCCTCGGAGATGTTGATCCGTGCCCCGCTCTGCCCAGTGAGACACGGAGCTCTCGTTAGACGGCACCCTTAAGACCCAAGCTCAACACGCAACCCTCAAGCAGTTTCGTCGCCACACACGTTTTCAGTGGCCGCACGTGGTGTGAGTAGAGCTTTGCTTGATTTTACTTGTAACAGGTTGATGTTTTGAGTTAATTGTGTTTTCCGATATACATGAGCTATGTTTTTTTTGTAATCAGCTAAGAGTGCTGAGATGAGGTCCACAATTTTGTTTTTCTTGTCATATTGTAACATTAAAGACGGACAAACAATTAAACAACAAAGTTAAAAGCTTGGCTGAATGCAGCAAATATGAAAGCAAACTTCACAAGATTTGCAAATGCAAATCAATTGTATTCAATTAATAAAACAATGTAACTGCAGGTAACATGAAAATTGAACATAATTTGCATAATGAGTGTAAATATATCTTGAAATAGAGTTAGAAAATATTAATGGGTTGCCTGTAACTTCATGTTTTGGATAACTTGAGAAGGACTTGCTGGTTACTGTCCTCAGAAAAAAGCACGCTTGATCATTACCAAGAAAGCCATGCCACCTCCTTGTACCCAGTTTACCCATCCTTTACATTTGGGCCATGCCCTTGTCAAGCAAGGTTAAAGGAAAACGCCAGAGCTCAGAGAGTCCTTCCAGAATATTCCACAGACAGCATGGCTAGAAGAGCAGTGCTGCTTCATTTAGCAGCGGACAAACCTCCCACAGCGGCCTATGGTTCAAACTCATTCCGCCCTGCTTCATTTAAACATTCCCTAGGAGTAAATTTTATCGACAGCACTTTTTAATTTTGCTATTTGTGTTCAATGACACCTAAAATAATGTTGGAATTTTCATCAATGTACAACATTGAATCGGCACAGGCGCTCCAGGGATTTGGCTGTTGGCTAATGGGTAAATCTGGAGAGACGACACAGGCATTGGCTTCTGCGTGCGAGAGTTTGGGGTAGGTCAGTTCACTATTAATAACCAGAGTGTCCTCCCTTTTATGAAGAAGTGAGTGGTGCAAATGGAAGTTATTGTATATGGGTACAAATTTCAAAAAATGCATAAGAAAAAGTTTCCATACCGACCGTACCTCCTCGCGCATTTTTTTCACCGTCTCCCCTTTCTACAAAAAAATAAACATGCAAGAACCTTACATGGCACCAATGTGAACATTACAAATGTTAATTATTTACGTCAAATGAAGTTTCCGGAGTGCAGTGTTCAACTGTATTCGCCAGCATTAGAAACCATCACTTACCTTACCAATGATGCTTCCAACCTCCTACAAAGACAAGAACACACAGCGTCACTAAGCAATAAAAATGTACATTATGGGTAAAGATTACATGAATAATGACACAATTGGTGAACCAGAGTCTATTAAATATCTATTCAGCTTCTCAAAGCAACGAAGCTCACGAAGAGCAAAGAATTGTCTTTCAAAAAGTTGGAAAACCTTTTGAGATAATTAAAAATGCAGCTCACGTCAGATGAAATCAATGTTACTGAAATTATACTGAAAGGTTATTTTTGTTCTGCTAGATAAAACACAAAATACATGTCTTAATTACTCCACGTAACAATTCCCAATTTTTTTTTAATAACCACCTTTATCAGTTTCATATATACATTAACAGAACAACAACAAATTAAGGAAATAAAAGTGTTAGCAGAAACCAGGTAAACAAAATAAATAAAAAAAATTCTTCTAAAAACTAGTAGACCTGTTGATCGATTTCCAGGGACATGATGAGCCATCATGCGTGACCAGCTGTGAATGTCACACTGCGCAAGCTTTGCTGCCCCCCCCCTGCTCCCCATTCCCTCCCCATGCCCCCAGTGGCTGCCCCCCCCCCCGTGCCAATCGTCCACTCCGCACCTTGCCATGCATGAGCAGGCGGATCGTGAGCGTGACACTGAGGCCTCCCTCCTTGCCGCTGCCGTCCATGGCGCCGCCCTCGCCCCCGCAGTGCAGGCTGATACCGTCGCTCTCTCCCACCCACGAGGGCACGGGGCTCGGGAAGCTCAGGCACGGGTACACCTGTGGCGACGCGGGCAAGGTGGGTTTGGGGGTGACAACATTCGTCGCATTTTAAGTCGAGAACAACACGAGGCTTAGTGCTGCAAAATAGGACGCGGGCTTCATCGCTTTAGGCATACCAACATCCCCCGTAATATTTAGATAATAGTGCAGCCCTGAAATTACTAGCCTCCATGACTGCCGGTGGAAAGGCCTCCACGAGAAGAGCCCCCACCCCCGAGAAGATATTGGCCTACTCTTCCACGCTGGCCAGCCACAAGAATATTTATGGGAAAAGAATGGAAATATTGTGCTTTACTCTTTTCCCAAGATTCTGAAAGGTATTTTGATACATTGAAACGAGCCATAAGATCCCATACTTTGCATCTGACACTTTATTTTCGTAGTCGAAAGCAAATCCTCATGCTCGGGGCATAAACATTTTCATTATCAGAGATATTTTAATAACAATTAAGCCACCGTCTTCTACATTGCCAAACGACACGGTGAAGAGAGGGGGGGAACAATATGTATTCGTGTCCACGGTCCATAATTAGCCACAACATGGGAATTCGTTTATCAGATCGCAAGGTTAAACAAATAAAAATACTCTCCAGTGACATGAATATGCTCTCAAGTGACATGAATATTGCTTCCATCAGCTGTTGTCCATCACAAGAGGCCGTAGATTGCAACTGGGCCCTTTGCTATAGATGACATACAGCTATTGTGCATTGCCTGTTGCCGATAACCTTTTCAACATTAGAACATTTTGAGCGTTTAATTTTACGGCTCCATAATCAATACGGTACATCTAACCTTTTTCTTGCGAGGAGCATTATTATAAGCTTATTACCACGCAGAGCACATCGTTTTTGTAAAAAGCAAGCGTAAAAATTTGCAACAACAAAAAAAACACTTCCATGTTCTCTCACTCCAGGGACAGCCTTACAAGTGAAACACAACCGAAAGCAGCGATGGCTGACACCTAATTTTCATCTAGGCAACGTACAACATAACAATTCCAGCACCTACAAGGGTTACACAATGCATTCGGCTGCCCCGCTGAGAAAATGCGATTATTAATATGTCAGTGACATCTGGACGGATTGTATTGCAACAAATGTGGAAAGGAGGAAAGAAGACACCTTATATGTTACGTGTACGCTTTTTTGGTTAATACAGGGTACATATACATACATACGGTAGAGGTACGAGTATGCTATATATTTCCAAAATTCTAAATCTCCTTCGGTGTCATTAACACAGTCCTGATAATGAAAGTACCTTGAACACACACACACATTTCCACAAAAGCAGATAAAGTATTATCTTGGATCTACCCCAAGAGACCAGGGGTGTAACGGTTCAATACCCCCACCACCTCCTACCGAGCGACGATTCCATTCAGGAATCGCTTCCGTTATTCTCACACACACCACAAATTCGTGATTTCGTTTCATCTGCACATCGTTTCTGTTCACTCCAATGGCCAAAATTAAAACGCAAGGCCAGCGTGTAATTTGTACATGACGGTCACAAAACACATAACACCAATAATGTACCGAACGCGCGATTCGACGCACGCATCGTGAGCCTTGAGTATCGAAATTCAAAGTGCGCAGCGCTGTTAAACAACGATGGCGGTGACAGAAGGGGGTGTGGGGGGGGGACTGCTAGCACAAACTACACACACGCAGTTCACCTGCTTCTAGTCGGAGGCGAAGCGCCGGGGGTTCTCGGGAGATGGGCCACGGTCAGCATCAAAGTGTGCTCTTCTCATTACCATGAGGGTCAGAGCCTCCGCGAGATCCTCGCTGCACGAATCCCGCCGTGTCGTAAAGATGCCCACTTGAGTAAATCCCAACCGTGTGTGTATAATACGGCGCTGTCACACAAAGCAAAGGTGGCTTATTATACCACTCTTTGAAACGAATATGTGATCTTAGGACTGCCAGCCACATCTTTTGGTGGGGTAGTGAGGAAAGGAGTGGCGAATGCAATCAGAAAAGCTCTTTACTTTTTTTTTCCCTCTCCAACAAAAGCCTGTAGCATAGCAAGGGGGCTATGTTTTCAATTTGCTTCCTCCGATTGGTTGCCTTTAAGTATTCCCAATCAGCTTAGGACGTAGTTTGTTAATCTGGGTAAATTTGAAGCCTCAGATAAAAGACAAAGCAGGGACAACAGCAGACACGTATCAATCGTAGGCAGCCTCGATCTTCGTAGGCACATGGCTGCATGTTTGATAACTATGTTAACTATACACATCGGTATTGCAGCAGTTTGAAAAAAAAAAAAGAACCAATTTTATAACGAAAATTTTTATGGTGAAAAATTATTCACGTTTCTTTTTCGTGTTTGGCCACGTGGGGAGTTTTATGCAAAAATTATTGTCATTAACCCTCCACCGCGCAACGAGATTGTCACGATTTTAGATATTATTATATACACGTGGCCAATGTGTTATTCACAAATAAAGCTCCTCCTCAACAGTGGCTTAAGACTTTGCACGACTGAATTCAATATCTACAGACGACGTTTTGCATGAACTGCTTTGAGCTTCAAGTAACGAATTCTGAAATCGAGTGCCCTGCCTCGTACGATTCGCTGTGACATCACCAACTGCCACTAAAAATAAAACATGGCATGCTTAATGGATGAATAGTTTTGGACGTAACACATTATTAGCAGAAATCACGTGGCAGGATTGTGGGGGAAGGTGGGAGGCTTGAGGAAGCCTTTATCCAGCAGTATATGGAGCATGGCCGATGATGCTTAACTGACATGTTAGAGATTTCTCGAGTTGACGGATACTTTTATGATTGCTCACGTATCTACATCGAAGCGCTGCCTCAAGATCAAACGTTTTACGTTCAAGGGGCAGTGTCTTATAACGCACACAGTAAGCAGTACTGTTAAGTTTGCATTAAATAAACGAATTTAGGAAAACAGAATGGTTGACCATTCTACGCAAAATACGTTTATTCGATATGCGTAGGTTATTTTGTTTTAATCTCTCATTTCAAATGTGGATCAACAAGCCTACTCACAACAGTGGTACGTGCACATATATAGAACGACTAAGATGGCAGAACAATGACGTATCAAATTAAGTCTGCCAGGTGCAGTCACCAAGCTGGACCTAAATAAGGAAAGCTTTTAAGCTGGGCGTGCCAAAGACTTTGTGCTTATATAAGCATTGATTTAAATTTCGACTACCTGTCTTGCTGGCCACTTTTATTTCGTGAATGCTACTTATTAATTGGAGCCAAGATGCTTACCTCATCTATGCTGTCACAGCTTTGGGCAATAACTTAATGGTACCAAGAAGCTCTTTTACTTCATGTGCATAGTCTGCTAATGTCTATACAATACTAGTGCTCGCATTTGAAAAGGTGGATTTGTTTTAAATCCATCTGTATAATTACTTAATTGTATTTACTGTAATTAAAACAGGCAAAGGTGCAGCCCGGAAATTGCCTGCTCACCAGTTAGTCGATCAACAGGTCGCGTGCGGTGGGGTAAAATGGCGGGTCCTTCATTAAACATCAGGCCAGAATGGAAGAGGTCAAATGGACGTATTGGCGGTACACTGGTGCAGAATAAGACACCGTCCTCATCAAAGTCTGATGATGTCACCGTTGCCCTTGAGTGAGATACAGACTCTCTGTCAGAAGTTGCCTTCGATTCAGCAGCTGTTTTCCCATTCGAACGTGCGACATGAGTCTATCTTTTGATGCCACCGTCCGCCAAGAAATGCCAGAAATTAATCGAGGAACCGTCCGACCAAGCCGAGGCCACGAGTCAAATTTGCCTTTTGAACACGGAGCCAATCGTTATCAGGTTGGGTGCTATACGCCAACAGACTGTGAAACTTTGTGTTAAGCTGCTCCTAACATTCGTCTTCGGGCTGCTTGGACATTATGAGAGCCGATTTTGACGTAGCCCGCAAGATATTCTAACTGGGGTTGCGAATCGTGGGAAAATATATAATTATCTCGCAAAAATGGCCTTTTTTTTATACCGCGCACTGATGTACCACCAATGCGTTCAAATACCCTGCTGAGGACCAACTCCAGGAGCTACCTCTCGTGCAGGCCCTTCCATGAGCAGTGGCATAAGCAAGCAATTGTACTCCAGTAATAATGCACAGTCATTTCTTCCACTGCACCACTAAAAGCTAATATCGTTGAGGAGATGCCCACGTGACTTATTTGAACCTCTCTCTGTATGACGGACAGACAACTTCAGGTTCTCGTGGGATAAACAAGGGTCCATCTTTCCAATTGAACCGATTGGTCCTGCAGTTTTCACATCACAAATACCACTGCAGCCTCGAGAGTTTTACTCGTAAAAAAAATCCCACTCACTACAAAGTCATGAATCCTTCCAAGGATTATATCCAAAATCAAAATGGTATTTAAAATGCTTCATGGTAATGACTTATAACAGGTTTAAGGCCACTGAAATACATTTTGCCAAGATAACGCGTATAGTGTCAGTTATGCAGAGACAATGATTAATTTTCACAACTTAGTGTATATTTAACATGATTTTTGTTTAATTACCATTGTGATCGTAAAGTTCATCTGGTTTCCTCTGTTGTTTAAACTATGTTACTTAGCGATTACACTGTTTTTAAAATGTGAATTTTTAATGGTTTGAAAGTTACGTGATCTCTGATTTGTCAACTGTTGACAGCCCAAAGCTCAAATTTCTGGCAAATCCTAAGATGCACTCATCCGGGGAGCAGCGGGTTGTAATAAAAGTGCGCAACCAGGAATGTCACAATGGTTAGTACACGGGTGAGTTGATTTCAAGACTAAAAAAACTTTACTGTGCAGCCTGGGTTAATAAGACCTTTAGACTACTTGCTAAAGCAGGCTTCTTTAAACAATTCCCAATGCAAATTCTATGATTCTTTCGATAAAGTCACGTAGATAGAAAAAATCTAACAACAATAAAGTGAATAAAAAGAAGAAACATATCACAGTGATATTTTTTATTCACTTTATTTTTCT